ATGATCTTCAATCATCATTTTGTAGCCTGAATAAACTATTAGATGCTTACACTTTGGTCCCCAAACTTTAGATTCCCTTCATTTTTCGTTCATTTCTTCCAAATCCACCAATTTGAATTTGATGATATTATTTGGTATGAAGAGATAAGATACGATTTTTTTTTTCTGATGTGTAGCCCTTGTTTTATATTTATAGGAGCCAGAAAATACTTCAAATCGAGACCAATTTGAGTTCCAAAAGAGTTTGAATCGCGAAAGAAAACTGTTGACTCATCTGTGAAAAAAACCCTGTGTGCGCAGAGACGCGCGCCATTGAGCCCAATGGCTCTCAGGTTGGAAAAATAGGGTACCGCGAAAGCGCATGTTAGCTTCCGCTTATCCCTTAATAGTTTTTGATATTTTGGTTATAACTTTCTTTACAGATATCTGATTGAGGTGATTCAAAATGCGTTAGAATGATAATTCTAATGGCTACAATAAACAATTTTCCAATTCGAACGTTTGCTATCCGAAAAATAAGTCTCAAGTTGCAACTAAAAATTCGGAGCATATCTTCTTCGGCTGGAAATTGATTTATGAAAATACTTCCTCTATATTTCACTCCTTCAACCTCCAATTGCATCCAATTGATCCTATATGATCTTCAATCATCGTTTTGTGGTCCGAATCAACTATTGGATGTTTACACTTTGGTTCCCAAACTTTGAATTTCCTTCGTTTTTGCGCATTTTTCGTTCTTTTTTTTCAAATTCATCAATTTACATTGAGTTCAACCTAAACATAATTAACACAAAATTAAGTTATAAGTTATGACACATCCAAGTCACTAACAAATACTCTAATTTAATGGTCTAGATAAGTGTTCAAAATACACTTATCAATACAATTTTATCTGTATTCAATGAAGTATAATTAATTAAACAGCTTTTAAAAATTAGTAACTGATTGTTGATTATAAGGTGGTTTCTTCTAAGTTATTTATACAGTTTTGTGGCGGAGATTAGTTTTCGAGTGACTTCCTCAGACGTTATGATATGATTTGAGAGGAAAAGTTGCGCTATCTATCACTAGGATGTGAGTAAGTGATTGTTGTTGTGTTCAATGAAGACTTCCCGCGTATATATTGACGCTATAGGAGACTAAAAGTGTCGTGCATCTTTGGTGTGCAGGCGCTTTGAAAGCATAGAAGTCACGAATTCCCTCTTTTGGAATATTTTGGAGCGGGGACAATATAAATTTATCCGTACATGCGTCGACCACCCGTGCATAGGAGATCCATCACCAGATATTTCACGCGGGCTGCAGGTCGCTTACCACCTTCTCAACCGCTGCCGTCCACCCAAGAAGCATGGACTTATCCTCCTCGACTATATGGAATCGACCGAGTTACCATCAGTAACCGTTTGTCTTATAGATCCTATTGGGCTGCCCAGATATGATTTGAGCAGAGTCCAGATGGTACTAAGCTATAGGAGTGCCCAAAATCATTTAGAACAACTGATTAAAATTTGAAATTTTGAGCTGTCAAACAAAAATCTTAAATAATGAATCTTCGATTCTCTTTATAATCAACTTTGCTGTTATTTTTGGGTTGTATTATTTAATTTCTTGTGTTTTTTGGGGGTAAACTTGTTTCAATTTTTTAGAAAAATGACAAATATAAGATAACATAGGATGCATTTGTAATTAAATAAGCTGGCACAAACAAGTGGTGAATGTGTGTACTTTATAACTAATTCCTCCTCTCTTCTTGCTTAGAATGCGTGGTTAAAATTAATTGTTGATTTAATTCAAGTGCAGGTTTGAGTCCCATTTTTTAGGTAGAATGCATTTTGGAATAGTAGATTGATTGAGAATGTGTGGTTAAAAAAGAATGAAATTTTTTTGGGTTATGTGTAATATTATTTTATTGAAGAATGCGTGGTTAAAAAGAGAAAAGAGAAAAATGTATTTTGAAAAAATTAGGGATCAAACAAGGTCTAAATTTTAATTTATTGTTTTTGGCTGAATCAAATATGAGCATAGTAACTATGTAAAAATTGTGAGTTTGAAATATTCATGTTGAGAGCTGTCCAACTTTTGTTGTTCAACTAGCTATTTACCCAATTAATTATTGACGTCATTTTTGAATTAACATATCATCTTAAATTTATCTATGTTAACTTCACTACTAACCCACCAAATTGATGACATGTTAATTTAAAATGACGTGTCAAAAACTGATTAGGTGGACAGCAAATTGAACAGTAGATCTCAACTCGAAATATCCCCAATTTTGAGAAAGGGATGGTTTGCATCATGGCTAAACAAGCTCGATATTCTATTGTCAACTAGTCCAATTTATAACTCGTTTCAACAACAAATCCCATTCTAACTCAATTAAGATGAAAATTGAAATACTTTTGGAGTACGAACTCGCATTATATACAACATTAAACTAATTAATTAGTCTCTGCTTAGATGAAAAATATTAACACAAAATACATTCATCATTTAAAAAAATAAAAAATAAAAGTATAAGCTTTGTATAATACCAACTGAAATAACCCAATTTCTTCAACCAACAGATATCATATGTTCAACAACTCTCAAGCATCCGACAAGAACACAAGTACAATAATAACACAACCCATCATAGGGAAATCACTTATAAGCTAGGAGGATATAACAATTATTTTACAAACAAAAGAATGCTTTCCAAAGTTCCAACCCCAAGAGAGCAAGATTGGTAACTAATGGCTTCTTTCCCGAAATATTGTAAGCATGGAAAGCAAGCATGCTCATGGATAATTCCCGACTCATGAAGAATTTATAGTTCACGATGCAATGATGTTCAACTTGCTCAAGCATCAAGAAGATGGTAGAAGTTTCTCCTTCAGACGATTAATAAGCTTAAATTTCTCCTCGGCTTCAACCTGCTGACGAATGTCAGATTTCGAAGCTCGATCTGGGTGAAACTTCAACAATGCTCGTTTGTAAGCCGTCTGTACCTGAAATTTCATCAGATGTCAGTAATCAATCCCAATAGATTTTGATGACAGCTATTCTTGACAAGCATATCAAGAACATACTACACATGGTAATTAATAAGCAGCAAGAGAACATTATTATGAAACAAACTACTTCAAACAATATGACTGCATGTAGTGGAGTCCATTTCTATTTTTGTGTGAGCTTTAGCAGTTTTAGGAAGAGCCTGTTGGTTGCCGAGTCGAGCAACACGACGACAGACAGTTTGTATGACTCATTTTGTTAATTAGACGATGTGGTCAATATCTTTTTGAGGCATATGCCTATTAGGTTAAGTAATTTTATGTCACGAGTATTTAAACAAACAGAAAGGTTTATTGCAGCATTTTAAATTTATAGGCTTTGGGGTCTGTTATTGTGACGGGAGTTATTTATTATCCCGTTGAAGATATATCACTCTAGATGGTATGTATTTGGAGCAACCGGTGGTTCCCGATGTATTCCATGTGTGGTTGTATGAGGATTTTTGTTGATTTACAAGTTAGTTAAGTTCAAATTACAAGGAACTCTGTCAAAAAATTTCTGAATTCTTTTAGTCAAAGAAAAGGCTAACAGTCAAAGGAAAGTCCAAGTTAGCTTTGATGGTGGATCTGACATCCAGCTGGCATTCATCATCGATGCACGTCACATTTCGGATCCACTAGAGTGATTCTGAACAAGTCGTGTTAGTCGGTAGTCGCTAATTTTATTTTATACTATGGTTTTGACAAATCCAAATTTAATTAAGAGAAAAGGGACCAAGCTTAAAAGTTCGTTTAGAAGTGAGTTTGTTGTAAAGTAATTCATTCTTTTCGTTGGTCACAGACAGAAATAAGTAATGTACTTATTCGAAAGTAAACCATCGTATCAATAACTAACCTTTTTTACTTAACCTATCCAAACTTGATTTAAAAAAAATATCTACTTGAAAGCTTCGCCAAATATGCTCAAACCCCCATTTATAAACCATGTGCAACTTAGCAAAGCATAACTACTACTCAACATCAGCTAATATATATATATATATATATCAAACCCCAGAAGCTTAGAGGCAGAAATAGAGTAATAGTTGGAATCATCAACATGCACGAATATGACCACTGAACACGAATAGCATGTTTGGCAAAGCTTAACGTTTTTTTTTTTTTAAGCTGGTCAAACATACTTTTTGTGCACACATTTTGTAAAACCCATAATTTACTACTTATTATCCTCACAATCCATACGACCCACAACTTATAAGCACTTCAAAGTAATCCCAAACAAGCACTAAAACAGAAAAAAGGGGGACATTAAACCTATTCACAATATGAAAGATTCATACCAAATCAACAGATTCTACACAGGGTCACAAAATGACATCAAAAAATAGTAAACAGATTCTACACGGGGTCACAAAATGACACCAAAAACTTGTAAATACCCTCCCACCCTCCTCCCTTTAATTATGGCTAGCACAAGAAACTAACAAACATGTTTTGTGAGCAATCTGATCTTACGGGTAACTAATGCCTTGTGGCCCAACCCCAAATGGCACAAGTTAAAGGAAGTGCAAATGAAGGGAATCAAATTAGGGTTCTGTCATATTAAGAAAATGACAGTACAAGGCCCCCAGGGAAGCAAAGGAGGAAAATACCCCCACACAGAGTAACACACATACACACACAGAGAAACATAATACACAAGAAATGAGTAGAAAAACCTACAATTTTTGGACTTTTATGTGTTGTAATGCAAGCAAGAAGACATACAATTGAACTTCTTAACAGCATTATTGATTAGAAATAAATTTTCCACAATTTTATCGCACACTTGAAAGATAGCTCACAGATTCAAGGGAATGACTAGATAATTGGTTTACATAAAGCCTTCTTGGACCACAGCAAAAAATGGCATTGCCAATTTTCATTTATTCATCATAATTTAACAGTTATATGCACAAAAGGAACTAGAGCTCCAGAAGGTAATCCACAAAACAAGCAGAATAACTGACCACTAGTCGCACTATAGTGACAATGGTCAATGTATATATTAAAGTGTAACTCGAAAGGTATAAGAACTTTACAACGCAAGTCGCACCAACCTCGTTTGGTGACGGACAAGGCCAACTACCCACTGGGATCCCCAGGGAATGCAACAGCGAAGCCATATTGCAGCATGTCATTTCCAGTTTCTTGAGCTCCTTCCTAACCTGGGAGCGCATTACCTCCTTCAAGTTGAGATTTTCCACATCCTAAAAGGTATATTAATGAAGAATCTACATTGTTACATAAGCTAAAGGCCAATCGAAAGCAAAAAATAACTAGTTAATGTGCCTTCATAAATTAGCTAGCAAATGGACTGTAACTATTGAGGAAAGAGAGAAGAAAACCTTCTCTTGAGTCTCCCTTATTTCCTTCACACGCTGCTTTTGTCTTTTCGCCATGTCCTGTAAGCGCATGCTTTCTGCCTTTTTTCTCTTCCGCGACTGCCGCAAGTGTTGTGCTTCTTCAGCCTACACAAAACCAAAGAAGCCAATTATATGCAACCTATTTCTTTATTCAAGACATTATTATTGAAAATAACCCAAATCATTTCAATGAAGAAAAAACATAAATTGAAAAGGAGTAGGCAGCAAAAGCCATTGCATGCATCCTCAATGCAATGTGGTTTCCTGAAATGGCTTGATGCTAACATATTGTCAAACAACTTTGATCCTATAGATAATAGTTACCAGAAGAAAACAATACAAAAGCAACAGAAATTTTTCTCTTGTTTACTCTGTTTTATTCATCTTCCTTTCCCAACTCTGATCAGCATGCTACCTATTTACAAAATGGTTTGACAGGCCAAATCCACAGGCTTGGCTAGCAACCCAAGACCTCATAATCCCCAACCATCCCTTCAGTCCCATGCAATTAATGATATTTCAACTATTCTTTCAACAGCTGGAAGCTTCTACAACTATTAGTGGAAATAAGTCCAGTACAGTGGACCCAGACAATACCAAAGACTGACCAAGGTGCAACGCAATATGCTTAGCCACAATGAAAAGGTTCAAAGCAAGGACAGGCAGATAAACAATTAAACATTGAACTGTTGAAATTGAAATTTTGCAACTCAAAGTTCTTAAACTTGCTGTAGAAATTCCCTGAGTTTCTTGATAAACTATGCAACAAATTAAAGATAATAGTTCAATGACAATAAAACAAAAATGTAGTATATGTAGAGAAAATGACTGTGATCCAATATACCTGAATTTTTAATGCTTGTTGTCGAGACGCCCACTCGACCTCTAGTGCTCTTTTGTATTCATCTGTTTCCTTGAGCTTTTCACGTTCATTAATGATAAAATTCTCAACACCAAGTGCAGTACCTCCATTCTGCATATGTTTTTGATCATCTTCATCCTTGTGCATACTTTTTGACACAGACTCAACAAGAGTTTCCACTGCCTCAACAGAAGAATTCTCCTCAAGCACATTGCAGAAAGATGGTGTCTCAGAAACTGCTTTCCTGGTTTCCTGATGATAACAGTTATCAATGCCATCTTCTGAGCCCAGTGATGAATTTTTACAGAAAGCGACTTCCCCTGGGACAGGTCCAACTTTGTCACCAGAAGGACTAACGCCAACATTAGCTTGCTCACTAGCTGACGGAAAATTCACAAATGAAGATTTATTAGATATTAATTTCTCTTTGTTAACAGTGCTAATTGCATGTGGTTCACAAGGTTCCAGATGCTTGTTCTCCTTAATATTACCAGTAAATGTCTCCTGAAGCTTCTTCTCTCCGTCTTTAAGAGTAAATCTGACATTGTCACCATAAGTTTCATATGAATTTTGATGCTTGCACATAGAAGCCTCTTCCTCTACTAAACTAGGTTTCCCATGAAAATAGTTCGTTGGAGTTCCCTCATCATCTTGGAAAGCCATTGTAGGACAATCAACTTGTTCAGTTCCCTGTCCATGGTAAGGAAAATAAGATGATGCTGCGGAGTTCAAACTCTCCTCATTCTGACAGCTGGGACTAACTGGCTCATAATGTTGGCCATCTTTCTGCCCAGTATAGTTGGGATCTTTGGCATCAGAATGTGATCTCTTGTGACCATCAGACTTACTATAGCCATAAGAAGAGCTATCAAAATTGGTATCCTCTTCTGTAATAAAAGGAGATGGAGCTTCATTTCCATGACTTGCTTTGCCAGTACTAGAACAAAATGGGGGTTCCTTGTGCTGCCCATTCTTGCTTTCTGTTCTAACATTTGGGTGGTGATCATCATTCAAAACACTCGAAGCACTGTCATGATCTCTAATACCAGATTGACCATTGTCAAACTGGCATTCTTTGCTAGCAGCGACTGCAGAACTTTCGAAGTTTTTTGAGGCAGGGGAAGATATCTTGCTAGGAGAAGCGCCACTAGAGAAGCTTCCATTCTCATTTACACCAAGACCAGAATGGTCACTGTCAGTACTTTCATCATCATCAATACATATCACAGTCCTAGATGGCCATTTTTCCTTTTTCCTGACCATGCTAGAACTTTGCCATTTCTTTGGCAAAGGCGCAGGAACATCAATTATAATAACGCTGTCAAAATGCTCAGAATCAACATCAATCACAACAACATTGTCTGGTGCAATGGCATTCCTGCACCTTTGCAAGGTTTTCATCCCAGACATGGTTCACGGTGAGAATGACCTATAGATGTTCCGCTCATTTTCCACTGCATGATCAAGAATGATTAGATTTTCTATTTACATAAACATGAAGAAATACGACACAAAATGATTGCAAATTCACGACTCTGGGAAGCAGTGAAAACCAGGTCCTAGTTGCTTATGATAAAGAGCCATCGGGTATATACATAAAACTGCATGTTCACTTCTTCTAGGCCACTGTAACTATTCTCAAGAATGCCAAAATATAAATCATTGCCAAAGCACACAATCATATTTCTATCAAGAAAGTTTAGAACTTTCATGGCTTGATATATACAGGATGTGTGAACCAAGATCAAAAGACAGAAGCGGCAAAGCCAAACCTAAATTCTGCAATTGTATGCCAGCACAACACACTGCTGAACATACTCACAAAATGCATAAACAGAGCCATGCAAGCCAAAGTTCATTTCCTCGACCTAAAAGAGTACAAAAACCCAGATTGTCCTTCTTTACCACCCTAATAGTAACATACGCATTATTCAGCTACAATAAATTACTTAGCAAGCCCAAATTTTCGTCAAACTCATTCATTCAACCTGTTTAGTTACAAGTTTCCTTTTATACATAAAAATTCCATACTTTCAATAGCTTTCAAATTTTTAATTAAAAAATTAAAACTAAATTACGCTCATAAGCTGCTTTATTTCAACAAAAAGTCCAAGAAAAATTCTTTACCCTGATAATACCCAAAAATCATTTAAGAAAAAAGTCCAATTTGTAAAAAAACCTCTATAATTCGTCGAATAATAGTAGTGGAGTATAAACCCTAATTAAATGCACGATTATCAAAAAGTAGCATAACAAATAATTGTCAATTTAAAAAATTTAATGATTTGAAACTTTTACCTGCTAACAAGAGAGAAATCCATGGGTGTCGAAAGGACGTGATTTGGCATCGGAAATTTAAAGAGATGGAGAGGGGAGGGGAAAATGATCGGTCAATTTGTTGAGTCGAAATTTAAAAACCAAAGAAATTGATTGCTTGAATGGAAATCTCATAAAGATGATTTTATTCAATATATTTGTGTGCAGATTGGTTTGCAGTGAAGTAATTGCAGAGTGTGGAGTTGAAATTCATGGGACAGCCGTTCTCATTGAAGATAATGAAGCTTTTGGACTTGTGTGTGATGTTTATGGAACATTCACTCAACTGACCACTGATTCGGATGAAAAGAGGAGGATTTGTCTACTTCTCTTACTCAATCCACGTGTCATGATTTGAATTATTCAAGAACATTTTCAATTTTTTATACTCTCCAATATTGTTCTATATTTTGACTCATCATTTTAATTTTTCCAAAAAATATTTATTGATTTCTCTGCGTCTTTTATTTAATATATTTTTTATATGTTTATGATTAATCGGTTTTAATATTATTTGAATAATTTAATAATTAGAGTATTGATATCTATAACTCATTAAATGTCATCATTATAAATTAAGAATAAAGAGTGAATTTCCAAACTTCTAGATTTTAAAAAATTAAAATAAAGATTCTTTTATAAATACTCTCATGAGAAAATTACCTCAAAACCAACATTTTGAAAGTCGAATCGGACATAAACCCAAAAAAGGTTAAGAGTCGAGGGTCAAAAAGTTTAATCAGGGTTGAACCGGGTGCAATAAATAAATATACACAAATAAGAAAATAGAGGTGAAATGAAAAAATAAATAAAATATTGAAATTCAATAAATAAAAAAATTAACTTTAAATTTTTATATAATTTTTCAAATAAAAATATCAAATTATTTTTAAAGTAACCCAATATAGCCCTCGTTTGGTATCCCATTATTTTCAAAAAAAATATATTTTTCTCTCTTATATTTAATCACACATTTTTCAATAAAATAATACTATACGAAAATCCAAAATTTTTCCTTATTTTTAATCACGTAATGCTCTGTCAAGATACTATTCCAAAATGTTTTATTTCCAAAAAAATATGGTTCAAACATGCTCATAATAAAACGGTTTAAAAATGTAAAAGCTTGAACACTGAACTGGAGGTTGAAAGCAATCCCACGTCGAAAAATAAAGAAAAGTGAAGGATTGAAAGTAGTTATAAAGAGTGGCTGGCAACTCTTTTAACCACAGTTCTATTGCCTTATTTAGTAATTTGGCCCAAGGAGTTTCAATTCTTTTTAATAAAAAAAATTCGGTAAAACAGGTGACGGATCAACCGGTTTTGTGGTTGGACCTCATTATTGTCCGGTTTTTAATTCTAGTGGTTTTTGGACATAATCGAACCTGTTTGATAATCAATTTTTGGTTCTTTTTGTTGAACCGGTCGATCCGATTCAATTTTGAAAGCATTGATTTTAACTTTCTATTTCAATAATCAAATCACAAAGATATTCTTTCAAAATCAGGTGCACCCTACCTCACCCCCACTCAATTCCACACAACACCCATCCTAAACCTTAATTCATTGAATTATGCTATTTGTACTCTATGGATTACACTCTTGTTTACCTGATCGTACCCTCTTTTCACATGGGGGTCGGGTCCCACGTCCAATAAATGTGTGGGGCCCGACCTCCCATGTGAGGGAGGGGGCGGGCCCATGTAAACAAAAATATAATCCATAGAGTACATGTAGCATAATCCTAATTCATTTTCCATTAAAAAAAAGTTATGAAAACCTTCATTGCACTTTCGATTGCTTCATTTCACTCATTCCATAGGTGGGCGACGACCATCTTGGTAAGAATAAGCTGCTAAAATCAGTTGTTATTAAAGAGAAGGGGTGGTTGCAGCAATTATGCCACAAAAAATTGAATGCCCAAAGTAGTCAAGACTGATAAATAAGATATTTGAAGAAAAGAAAGAGGGAGCTTTACGTAGAAAGGGGCCATTTAGCGTGGAAAGTGGTTTCGCAAATGGTTTGGAATCTATTGACCATAGAGGTGTAGGAGCTTATAAGTGAAGTGACAATAGTCAATGACGACTACTACAGTGCATGGTGGGTGGCCGTGTGCACCCTACAGCGATGGGAATCACTACACCCGTTGTTGCCGTGACAGCGATGCTCATCGCTAATGTAGCGACGAGCGTTACTGCTTCATGTTGTTAACTGCTGGCTTCTATTCAACTTTTTCTAATTCAATGGCCGGTCTCTTTGTAGCAGCAATCGGCGATCTGTGTGTATGTGTGCAGCGCACGATTGATATCTATAATATATTAAATATCGCATGAAGTGAGATCATTTTTTGGACGATTTTAGCCCTACTACAATTTAATTATTTCAATAATACCTTACTTTTCGTTTTTCAATATATATTTAATTGAATATTAATTATTAAACATGCACACAAATAAATAATTGAATTGTATGGGAACAATCAAATTGATTCATGAACATGGAATTTAATTAATTTGAATCAATGAATATAGAAAAAGAATAATGTATATACATTTAAACAAAAGGGGTGTAAGTTAACCAACATGAAATTTAATTAATTTGAATTAA